TGACCTCATATGAAAGCCTTAGCCCTTTAAAAGGCAATCTGATAATATTGATCACTTCTTGATTGATTGCAAACAATACTTCAAAGTATACTCTGCTTATCTATCTGCCAATATTTATTAGGTTGCCTTTGCTGCATTCTATTTCAAGGATAAAACTAAGGTCTAGTGGACCCTAAAGAGTTGAGACCTTTATTCCACAATCAGAGAGCACCACCATCTGCCATCCTGGCCAGTATTCAAACAAATGGTATGTGATAAATTTATTGATCTGGCTGTCCAAGAAGTCCACAAGCAGAAGATGAAGAATCTTTGAATGGGAGACAAGATGACCACTGAATACTTTGACAAGTTCAAATGACTTGCCAAACTAGCTGGACTCATTGACCATATTGAGGATGATAGATGTCTGGTGGAGTATTTAAAGAATGAGGTATCCCACTCTTATATTATGATAATTGCTGACATTGGCTTTAATATCCTGAAGAGATACAAAGAGTGGAAGGTGTGAATTATTATGATGAACAAGAAGTGGCATCAACAGAAGGCAGAAAATGCCTATCAGCAGAATGATCAAAAATCTGATAATCAGGAAAAGACCAGTATGCTGACCTCTGCCAAGTCCAATGTGTCCTCTCCAACTTCTATGCCCTCCTGTTCTGTCCAGAAGACTGAGACCAGGACCACTTATACCAGACAAAGAAAGCCTATGGATATCAACAGACTGAAGAAAGAAGAAAAGTGCTTCAATTGTAGAGAGAAGGGCCATCTGTCTTGGAACTGCCTAAAGAAAAAGCACACCCAAGAAGATATACAGACACAAATCACCAAACTACAGAAGGAAGCTGATGGGCTTGAGGAACTTAAAAAGAATATAAAGGTTGAGGAGATAAAAGACAGAGCCAACAAGTGAGTGATTCCATTTGGTCAGCTAAAGAACTTGATGGTGTGTCTTGAAATACCACTGGACAGACTTATGCTAGTTCTGTAGTTACCTCTATTTATGTGCATTTGAATATACTCTGTTCTATAACTACTACAAGACCATCTAAAGAATCATCTAAACCTGAAACTCAATTGCCTATAAGCTGAACAGGAGGAGAGACCCCCAATGGTTAACTGAAACTATTTGATACTGAATAGACCTGGTGAGCCATCCAAGATGCTAAGAGTGAAGCAGAAGCCAAGGCAGTACTTAAGAATTGGGTACACTAAACATGAGCTGAAGAAGTTATTGACAAAATAATTGAAGGGCTGAGGAAGATAGAAAGGAACCAAGCCTTAGAGTGATTGTGTTAGGCTCAAGCAACACGTGACAGACTGACATGTGATAAACTAATGTGGCTTCGTGTTCGAGCCTTCCGTCAGAGTCCATGCAGTGACAGTCCACTGTGTTTCAAGGCATATAGAGTAGCTCGAGAGTAGAATGAGTGTGTATAAACTTTAGCTTGAAGCTGGGGTATGCCAGCAAGAGCGTTGGTCTTAAATACTTGTACAGATGTTTCTAATTATATCACTACCTATTGTGTATGTCTGTGTCCATGGTGCTCATTGTCCTTGAGCATCGTTACCATACATAAAAGGGATGCTTGTGTGTCATTGGGCTGATTGTTGAGTAGACTGATGGATGAGTTAGTTGTACTGACTAAGCTCTCCCATGGTCTTGTGCCTTCTTATTAAGCATAAATAGGGGTGAGGAGACAATAAAAGGGAAAAATTGTAACATTACCCCCTCCTTAAGACCATTGTCCTGATGGTGTTAATTAAGGGATAGTTCATAGTCGTGTATGGCCTCATCTGCCATCATGTTCTTTTTGTTGACCCATTGATTGGATTCTGGGCCATAACCTTTCCAACTTACAAGATAATCAACTGTTGTTGTCATTCTCCTGCCATGTGCCTTGACTTTTCGGAGTTTATGGTTTAGTACTTGATCAATTTCATAGTGTTCCTCGTCATTGATCAGGTCTGATGGTGGTGGCAGCAGGCGTTGTTGGTTAGGGAAGGCTGGTGCCACATATAGTGATAGAAGTGCCTCATTGAATATGTCATGGACTTTTCATCCTGCTGGTAAATGTAGTTTGTAGGCACCTTCTCCTATTTTAGCAATAATGGAGAAGAGGCCAGTCCATTTGTCAGTGAGCTTCTGTTTTGGGCAGGGCAGATGGAGATTCATCATATCCAATCATACTTTGTTGTTGACATTATAGGTATGTGCTGAGTGACGATGCTTGTCATATTGTTTTTTCATTGTTGAGGTGGCCTTCTCGAGAGCAATCCTGATTTCATTATGAATTTTTGTCATCGTTGTGGCGAAGTCTGTAGAGGCGGGTGTTGTCATTTTTTTATAGAATGCTGTTTGGATGACATATGGGTGACGCTCATGATTAATGAAGAATGGGGTTTTACCCATGGCCGAGTGGACCTGGTTGTTATGTTGAAAGGTGGCGAGTGCAAGCCACTCGATCCAGTCATCCTGATGGTAGTTAATGAAAAGTCAAAGATACTTTTCGATCTCTTGATTTGCACGTTCGGTTTGACTGTCGGTCTGTGAGTGATAGGCCATTGACGTGTTTCGTTTGATATTGAGTAATTTATAGAGGTCGTTGAGGAACTTTGAGATGAACTGAGGTCTCCAATCCGAGATGACTACTTGGAGCATCCCGTACTTGGTGTATACTTCGTCGCATAGGATTTTTGTTACGATTTTTTCCATCTTTTCCCTATTTTCTTCTCTTTTTCCTCGGAAGTAACCCCTATATTCACTTAGTCAGGGCACTTGGACCAGTGCTTATGACCGTGGGAACGCTTAGCTCAGCAGCCCAAGTCGGTCATTCTCCTGTCGCACTGCTATGAGCTGTGAAGGGAGAGACAACCCCCTTTTTGTTCTCAAATTGCAGTGCATGACCACAGCTCCGCAGCAAGACCACAGCTCTTTGTGGAGAACCTGGCAACGGTAGAGGGGAACAGCTCTACAGCAGATAATATCTTTTGTGAACAGTTATTTATAGCATGACAGCTAAACAGTATTTAAGTAGCTTAGTTCTCACTGTAACACCCCAGTCTCGAACTAAAGTTTATATGCTACCATCTTATCTCGAGCTCAACTAATTCGTTAAAGCCTTGAACCACACAATACTCTCAACATGCATGTGAACTTGGTCGGGCATACCTGAAGTGCGAGGTACCAAACCGTTTATCACGTGTTGATTGTCACATGGGATTTGGGTCTAACAATTAGTTCGAGACTTTCACATTCTCTTTCTCAAGCCCAATTGTGCTGAGAAACTGAATGCCCCCTGCGCTTAATCCTGATAACCCAAACTTTACTCAAGAGTTTTTTATACTCTTTGTATCTCTTATCGGAATTCTGGTCGTCTTATTGGTGCTCATACAGCTGTGCCATGGACACCAATCAATTATCGCCTGGTCTATCCGTCATTACCATGAATTTTAGCGCATTCGTACCATTCTACGCAATGTTACACCAGATCTACCTCTTCACAACATCCCTGCTTCAGCTCGACCTTCAACGTCCCAACGGCGACAGCAGCCAGAAGGAGTCGACCCCGAAGACGTCTCTGGGAGACCGTCTTTGGAACATACTAGGGAAGAAGAAGAACAGGAACCACACCAACAGCACACATACCTCTCTCGACCCCCGCCAGCAGTCGTCCGGAACTCTGGGAACCCTTGGGCAACAGGGTTCCGACGACCTAGGCCCGATGCCCCCACCCTATCCCCCCAGCGCAGCATCCGAGCAACAAGGATGCCAACCCCCGTCTCTGGCACTGGCATTGGGCGCAATGCCAGAGACTCCTTGGATGGCTCACAGGTGGCTCACGGGATCAGTACTAGGACACGGGGATCCCATCATACAATGTCAGTACGAGGCAGCAGTACTGACAACAGGGCAGAAATCAATCGGTCGGAACAACGGCCGATCAGGAACTTCGCTGGACTTTTCGCCACTCAGACAGAACAGGACAATGAGATCTATAAGGAGAATATCCTCTTCAGAAGGTATCTCCGGGCACGGGAGGCAGAACAGTGGCAAAGAGAGAACGGAAGTGCTAGCAACAGCACTTTGGTCAACACCAGCACCCAGGACTCTCCATTCCAACAGCCCACCCCCTCCCCCACTGAATCTGACCCATGGGTGACGCCTGTCGATGGAGTCATCTATGGTGACAACATCCCAAGACAGGAGGAGCTCGACGAGCTTGACGATGGCTGCCCACTGTCATACGGAATGGATATCATCGCAGACACCGACAGTATCCCAACCCATAGACACAGAATATCGACAGACCAGGGATCGATTGGAGGAGACAGCCAGCACATTGACCCCACAGGAGACCTTAAACGGTTCCTTGACGGGCCAGTGGCTGCTCTCTTCCTTCAACCCCAGTTTTACAGAAACTTCTGTCGATATAGCCGAGCAATGGCGCCAAACGCAACAGGGGGAGAGGCCGAGCAGGAGCAACAGCAGCCTGGGCGGGAGCCTTCTCCTCGCCCCGGACCAGAGGACGCCGGACCAAGTACCCAGCCCCAGACCCGCCGAACCGACAATATACGACCTGGATGACATCTCCCTCCTCAAGGGGGAAATGTGGGACCAGGATGGCGATGCGGAAAACGAGGCCGAGGAGGGGGATTCAATCGGGGAGGTCGGAGACCTTCCCTTTGAATCCAGGGGAAGTTTTGAAGGACAGATGGCAGAGGAGATGATGAGGAGAGGAGCGCATGAGGTGCGCACGCAGGAGTTCATTTGGCTGTACCAAGAGCAGGTAGCTGAATTGTGGGGAGACGACCTTTGGTTAGGGTCGTCTCTGGGTCAAAGGTACACTCTCACCGACAATGTCGAGCAGGAGGAAATTTTACAATATGCAGCCACGGAACAGGCCATTTTTCTATTTAATCAATGATTTTTGCATTACCAGATGGGACCGATAAAACCATATGAGCCAAAGTATGGTAAAAGAACGGCAGTCAACCCGTGGATGCTGAACCTGCTACCTGCAGAAGCGGCATCCTCGCAACCATCAACCCAAATGGCACCACCTCGGCACTTGCATAACACATGCATCATCCCCGGAACGGCATCTCGGCCTGATGAAAGCCGATCACAAGCAGTCTGGCAACATCTAGAATGTAGGAAGTTGCCGACAGTGCCGTGATCACTTGCTGAGCAGCCGCCACCATACACCGAAGAAACCCCACATCCCTTTATGGAAACACCGATATGGGCACCCCCGCCTGATGGCGGGCTCGCAAATCCCCCGACCATGGTTCCCGACATCTACAAGCAACGAATGAAGGAACACAAGCTGGCCGGGAAAACAACCACAGAATACTTCACTGAACTGGAACGACTAAGTACACTCGCTGAAGTATGGAACGACACTACTGACACCGGATACATGGTCGAATGTATCAAGATGGGGCTACCACCCGTCTACCTCACGACAATCAAGGGACAGTATACCCCAAAGGGTTACGACAAATAGAAGAGTCGGACCATCGGGATATACAAAGAACGACAACAGCAAAGGGCTGAAGCGATTGCCTTGGCCTATGGCCATGGAGCCCCAGAACTGGCATCTACTGGGACGACAAACATCGAAGACAGATGTCTTGTCAAGGAAGGGGTGGGAAGGGCCAAAAGCACCCTAAAAAGGATCCACAAACGGATCATCAACCAGCACTGACCGAGCCCAGGAACTCGGCCACAGACTGAATTACCAAACTGACATTTTCTCTTCTCTGTAGTAACCCCTATGCCTAAATAATGCATACTTTAATCGACAAAATATTCACTACCTAATATCGGACATGCGATAAAGCATAAATACGATAACCCACTCTTCGAACAAGACAAACATTGTTTGGACTGACGAGACATTCCACAGAGCCGATAATTGAATCAGCATCACAAAGAAGGGACTACATCCACTTCGCAGATTAATCAACTTCTACTGGCAGATCATTCAGCAACATGATTCATCAGGTAACAGAACCCCATCAGAAATTCCCCGAAGGAATGGGGAATTTCTGAACCAGAAACGAACCACAGTGTACCGGCAACTAGAACCATCTGATGGCGTAGACGACACCATGGGAAGGGGATGCATGATGCATCACCAAAGGATCCAGCATACCGGATCAAACCAGTATGCTATCGGTAGCAACCATAGAATGCTTCCATGACAGGGTCATGGAGACAACAACCGAACAGAAATGGAACCGATCCTGACAGTCCAGGATGAATCATAAAGGTCACCTGACAACACACCCCTCGCTATAATATTCCCCACTGGGGAATAACATTATCTCATTGGGGAGAGAATCAGAGGAGCCATTTATGAAGAATGGAATTTCCCTGCCGATCTAACGTACTGGATCAAGCAGCGACCCCGTCACAACGAAAACAACACAATGACACCTTTCCGAAGGCAATGGCTATGACAGACGCACATGTCAGCAGTCGATCGCTTCTCGAAGGAGATCAAGGGAACCAACCCTCCCAAAAAAATAACAGACATGACGACATCATACGAAGACACAATTATGCGGGAATTCCCCATAGACTTGGGGAACTCTGAACACGTGGCATTCAAACGTTGAATGACCAAAAAACATTATCTTGTCTACAGCAAGTGAAGATGGAGAAACAGGACCTGGAGATTCAATGCACCCCCTTGCTATAATAATCGTACCCACTACGTCACGACATTATCTCATTGGGGAAGAATCAGGGGAGCCATTTATGAAGAATGGAATTTCACTGATCTGATGGACTAGATCAAAGGGCGGCCCCATCGTTGTCATGAGTTGCCAGCAGCAAGCTCTTGACAAAATCATGATGACATCAAAAGAATCACACCTATACCTTCTCAGAAGCAATATGACTTGGCAATCATTCGGATCAATACCTCGACCGATTTGGAATAACCGACCAGCCAACAATGAGAGAATGTTACATCTGTAATGAAGCAAACTAGAAATGAAGGGGACATACAATGAAGAGCAATGTGCTCCTGTATATGATGGATCCACAGGCAGCCTGCGACAGATCGAAAGTCACGACATAATGGAAGCCACAAAGGATCCAAAGCCCTCGCAGTTCGAGATCCTGCGACAGATATACTAACCAATAACAGGTCAAAGTCTTTATGAACCTGGGAACCAATGGACGGGTCCAGCAGATCGGCCATCTCCCGCCAAGGGAGGGGGTCTACCCTAACTTAACCATCGGGATGATGGTCTTAAGGAGGGGGTAATGTTATGATTTTTTCCATCTTTTCCCTATTTTCTTCTCTTTTTCCTTGGAAGTAACCCCTATATTCGCTTAGTCAGGGCACTTGGACCAGCGCTTATGACCATGGGAATGCTTAGCTCAGCAGCCCAAGTCAGTCATTCTCCTGTTGCACTGCTATGAGCTGTGAAGGGAGAGACAACCCTCTTTTTGTCCTCAAATTGCAGTGCACGACCACAGCTCCGCAGCAAGACCACAGCTCTTTGTGGAGAACCTGGCAATGGTAGGGGGGAACAGCTCTACAGCAGACAATATCTTTTGTGAACAGTTATTTATAGCACGACAGCTAAACAGTATTTAAGTAGCTTAGTTCTCGCTGTAACACCCCAGTCTCAAACTAAAGTTTATATGCTACCATCTTATCTCGAGCTCAACTAATTCGTTAAAGCCTTGAACCACACAATACTCTCAACATGCATGTGAACTTGGT